GGAGCAACAAAGAGAGGAGAGAATCGGGGGAAATGTGTTATGGTCGGTAATGGCGACCTCTGTTACTAAGTGGCTGGGCTGCTGCCTTTTGTACCAGATAGAAATTTATGTTCATAAAGCACAGACGATGAAGTGCAGCTGTGTGAGAACGTGAATCTTCATCCAGGTAGGAAACTCTCCTACTTGCCCAATTATTTCTCCTGCTAATCTCCATGTGCTGCCCCTTTACCATTCTACTAAACCAGAAATTGCCAGGAGTGGAAAGAGTGACAAAGCCTGATCGTGAATACGTACTGGTAACATAAAATCATGCCACTCACAAGTGAAAAAAAGTCATATTTCACAGTTCTAGGAGGCTTACACTTTCACAGTTGTGATATCGAAGCTCCGAAACAGGGCACTTTTTAAAGTAAGGAAAAGTACCAGTCAAGGTTCACTGTTTTTAACCACTGACTGCAATATGTACAGTACATGAAGTGAAGTTAAACAAACAACTATGATTTGTGGGTTGACCTCATATATCACAATCCCACCCCCCAACAATGAGCTGTTCTTTACTGCCTTGAAACCAAACAAAATCGAAGTGACATTTAAGATTTTCCTTATTTTTTAATATTTCCTGCTGTGTTTCTCAATCATACTGCCAGGACAAAGGGAAATTTAATGGACGACTAAGAAAAATGGGTTTCACCCTGAAAATCATGTGTTTCTTTTATGTGTATGAAACAGAAAATAGGACAAGAGGAAGAACATATACACAATACTTTCTTTTTGCTCTCATAATTATCACAAAGTCATAGCACTCTAATGTGTGTATATAATCAAATACAGTAGCTCAGAGTCACAGCATAGTACGTATTAGTGTACACACACACACACACACACACTCACACCCTTATAGGAACTCATTTGGTTAACCACTTTATAAAAGGCATAATAGCCTTTTTTAAGGTTAGATTAGTTCACCAAAAAGTCTTAGTGTCATGGCATGATTAACTGAAGGCCAGAAAATCACTTTTCAACATATAAAATAATCACACAGTTTAAGTCAGCAAAATGGTCAAGTAAATCCTGAAGCTTTTCCTTATCACAGAACTGTATTAAAAAGAAATTAACTCTAGAGGTCAAGTTAATAGCATTGAGTATGGAGAGAATTATTAGAGTCTCCCAGAAGACTCTTCTGCCTGAGGTGAGCTAGCAGACATATCCTCAGATTAAACTTTCATCAGCAGATCTCTGTATTTCATCAATCTTTCATTACCGCACATCTTAGAAAATCACCGGTCAGGTATCATTAGAAAACCTTTCATCTTTCCAATGCAAAATCCAACCAAATTACTAGAAGTAAAATACTGTTAAAAACGAGGACCTGGAGAGAGCAATGATGTTTAAATAGCTCAATATTAAAAAAGTTTGAGTTTCTGTATTGTTCTAAATTATCACTTCCTTTCACAACAAACGGCAGAGAATGTGTGTAGAATGGATGGCACTGCAAGATTTGGAAAGCAAGTCATTACTGTGTATTAATATATTATCAACATCCATGTGCAACAAGATTATATCAGAGCATTTCATGCTAGAAGTAATGATTTTACAGACTTCCTTAAAATTAATCCACACAGGACACACAAAAGAGACTACGCATTTGTGTGTCTCCTAATCTCTCTCGCTCTGTTTTCTCTGATGATTGCAGCTTCTCCCTCTACCTGTAAGCAAGGAGTGCTCTGACTTCACCCTGTTGAGGACCAAACAGACTACTTGCCATGATGAGCTCACGCCTGCACTTACCTTTATATACAAAAGAGCAGGGGAGTGACATCCAATTGAATACAGAGATGTATATCCCAGGGTGCAGTATGTTCCAGTTATATCCAAGTGTCCTGCATCTGTGACCCACACAATAGAGCACTTGACCTCTCTAATTTAGGAGTCCAGCCATAGCTCAAGTTCTCTCTTGTCACAAATGCCCCTTCTCTGGCTACTGGGGCTTGCTCAGCAAACCTTGCATTATTTATACTGTCCTTCAAAGAACTTTCACTGCATGGAGCCTCCAGAACCCCCAAATTGGCTAGTCATAGCTGTCATTTTACTCATGCTGCTCTGTTTTGAAATAATTACCTACTAATTAACAGCACATACTGTATGAGTTTATTTATAGGCAATGGCTGTATTGTTTGCTCTAGAACACTCTCTAATCCAGTAGGTGCATACAAATTTAAACAAACTTAATTGGAGAAAAATTTAGGTAAGCTCAAGGTCTAAACACCTGAAGGAAGAAGACTTTGTACAATATTTAAAATACATGTAGCCTCTTTACCAAAATTCATACAAGGAAAAGAAAAAAAACTGAAGGCTCTGAAAGAGAAACTACTTGTGATGAAAAAGCGTAGCTCATAGCACAGTAAATCTAAAAGGGACATTTTTGTACATGACAGCAAATGAGATATTATGGGCTATTTTTAGTTCCATGTTTATATATTAAAGCTTCAATAATTCTGTTTTCTCCTTGCTGTTATCAATAGCGACCAATCAGAAAAAGTAATTTATTGTGCAAACAACAAATACTTAATTATAATACAAAACAGCCAAGTTTCTCTTCCGATGTTAAGGAGAGAAAATTGGTTTGATCATCTCTGACATGGGTCTTCTGTATTGCTGATGTCACAAACAAAGTTACTTTTCAGCAGGAAACTGGGCAGGGCTGGAATTCAGCCCCTGGGCAGAACATGGTACTGCAACTGGCTGGGATTGCAGTTAGTGCCCCTATGTGGAGGGTTTTGTATCAGTGGATCTATAGCCTCTCCTCCAGGTCATCCCTGATGAGCCCATCTGCACTGACCTATTTGGATCAGATATGGGGACCACCTGCTCTGCACTTGCATGCTCGCTTTTTCTCTCTCTCACCCATTAGGTGGCTTACATGCCTCTCCACCCCTGAAGAAATTTCATCCAGCAGCTCGTGAACTTTCTCAACACTGCAGTGAGCAAAATGGGAACAACAGTCTTAAATTATTCCAAATAACTAATTATAACTGCTAGGAGTAATAACGTCATTACATACATCACAAATGTTGGATATTTCTGTAACCTGTTAAATCTATGACTAGTGGGTCTAGTCTGGTGTATTGGAGTTTAACAATTTGTGAACAAATATCACAACAATACAATTTTATCATCCAGAGAATCTGAAATATTTGAAAACTAAGAGGTAACAGAAAAGCAAACTGTCTTCTCAAATTCTGTAAATAAATCATTTGGGTATACAGTAAAAGCCTTTCTCTGTCCTTCAGACATTTGTTATAATGTACTTTTCCTGTTCAACTGCACCATATCAAAATGTCCCCAAAGATGCTCCATTTTCTAACCAAAGAAAGCTTCTAGAAAATCTGACTTGAAGGGAAATGTGAAATGGGTTCATTTTCTCAAGCAAAGGAAGCACTTTAATGTTTTATTCATGACAAGTTAAAACCTCTTTGCTTCCCAGCATTTCCAATTGGATTTGTCCTTGTAAATCACTCAAAAATCTGAACCAAAGAAACTAAAAATGCAACAAAAAATACCCATCATTCAGAGGAACGAATGGCTCAGGGGAATGATATTCGGACACAGAAACATTCACTTCAAGGTCACTGGTTCAAATATGGACCAGGTCTGAGCTGACCAAAAGTCAAAACCATCCAACTGGCTATTTGGCAGCTTTATGTGAAATGAGCAAAGGGTTTCAGTCATTGAGTTCCTGCATCATAAAAGCCTGTGTACTACAGGTGGCCTGGGCAAGGGTTCTAAAAGAGATGCCGTGGACGGTGGAGACTGACCTACTTAGTGATTCCCTTAAAGTGATCCCTTCAGGCAAAGCTTGAAGCATATTGATAAGGCAGATAAGCCTTGGCTTTCATTGCTGCCACCTTATTAATCAGAAGGCTTCAGTGTTCAGTGTTATCAACCTAGCACCTTTTGAAAGTATTCATTCATGTGAAAATCTTTCTAACTCAGGACTTTTCTTTTGCCAAGAAAGACTAACAGACATTTCACCAACCCTGAAAGCCAACATGCTGATGTGATGTGTATTAGAAATGTACAGGTCAAACAGCTTGCTTTACATCTGACAGGTGCAACAATACAATAGCCACCCAAAAAGCAGCTGAAGGGTTCACTAAGCTACCAGGCAAAACCACTCTGATACCCCTATTATAACTTATTACAGATACAATTTCTGTCATTCCTTTTGGGAGAGAGACTACAAGCCATTTTAATAGTTATATTCCTGCAACAATGCCACATCAAAAGGAAAGTATGAAGCAAAAGATAGCTAAGTCCCTGGTTCAGTGAAGCACTAAGTACATGTTTAAGTCTATCCCATGTCAGGAAAGCACTTGAGCACATGCTTAACTTGACTTCAATGGGAACTAAGCACATGTTTAAGCACATTCCTGAATCAAAGTCTTTAAAAACATCAGCGGGGGAAACCAACTTCACTTTCTACTTTGATCAACTGTAATGTATGAGGAAGTGGAAATGGAACTATTTAAATACTTTCTTTACTATATACTGGTGAAATGTATACCTCGCAGGATAAATACGCTAAGGACTACATTTGAAAAATTATCCCTTGATTTTGGACATGCAAACAAGTATTTCTGCCTCTAATTCAGGTAATTTGGTACTTAACTACCTGATTTACAAGCAGAAATATGTTTATTCTTTGTGAACATAAAAGTTTCATAAACAACTTTACAGGTCAAGTTGAGGCCCTTTGAATATCTTATCCAAATATCATTTTGCAAAATGTGCTATAAGGAGTTATGAAAAATAAGTGTGTTTTTTTTTTAAGTAACTTGCGTAACAAATATAACAAATATAAATCCTCCCATAGTTATTGGAACATAATCACACAATAAAATGGCTATTAGTGATGCTTCACTTGGCAAGCATATATACACCCTACACTAGTAGATTTCAACAGCACAAAGCAACAAAGTCTTAGGAGATTTTAAACTCACCGTCCATTGTCACGACCCACTCCCCAGACTCTGATGCTCACAATGGGCTGAGAATGAAGAATGGTATGATCCATGGGGTCAACCAAATTTAGCATGTCATTTTCCAGTATAAGGTACATGTCTTTTCCCTATAATTCAAAACAAAACACAAATTACAAAATCTGTTCTTCATGCAAAGTGAATCAGCTCAAAACTCAAGATGTTTTCGGTTTTCTTTATTTGCATTGGTAAATATCACTGAGTCATTTGATTGACTCAAAGTTTCAATATATTCTGAGTGCATTTGAAAACAAGCTGACTTCTGGTTTTAAAAGGTCCAAGATAAACTTTACTGATTTTTTTTATAAACCAAACTGGAGAAAATAATTCTTTTCAATTTGTAAAATGTAAACGGTTTTATTGGCTCGATATAATTAACAACAATCTTAAGGTCATTCAGATATTCAATACACAAGTTCTTTGTTTCCCTGAAAAAAAATTAAACATAACAAAATAAGAAATTTCTTAATGTTAAAACCTTAGTAACAAACATCAAAACCAGTAACCTTTTAAGGAGGAGAAACATACTGTTTACATCAAATGATATGATGGGCTGTGATTTCTTTTTCTCAGCTTCCACTTCACAGTTAAAAGGGCTATTGAAGAGGATGGCATTCTGCGTACCAAAGGTTTTAGGATCTGCTATTGGAAGAAGAAAGCATTTAGGCTGAACCCTACTCTCACTGAAGTGAGTGGGAGTTTTGCCATTGACTTCAATGTAGCCAGGATTTCATCCTTTCGGCCTGTATTTGCCTTTTTCTTGGTTGAATATTGTAAGAAAAGGAACCAATTTTTATGATACTCTTCCCTTTTATGACAATTTAGGAATGATAATTATTTCTATTATTAGTATTCTCTCTAACCTAGCTACCTCTGTGCTAACACGACGTTGTTCTGTCTTTTAAGCTTCCCAGAAAGAAGTACACATTGCAGCCAAAGGAGGCTCAGAAATCAGTTTCTCTCGTCTGATTTGGTATATCTTCTCAAACAGTAATCCAAGGAGAATTGCAGGACCCCATGGAAATGATACTGGAGTTACTGTAAGACAAAATATTGATCTAAAAGGGATGGACTGTGTAGGGTCCCCACTTAGTAAGAAGAATTTATTTGTTTCCCCATTGTTGAGACACCATCCATTAATGTATATCCCCATACGCCTTTCAGAGTGGAAACAATCTGATCACACACTGACAGAGGATTTAGAAATTACTCTCTTATTTTTGTACATGTCAATGATATGGCAGCCCTTTTCCAGATTGCCACTGCTCAAGTTTTAATGGTGTGTCTAATTCTGTGCCCCTGACTGTCATGCATTTCTTTCAGCTTGGAAGGGATTGTTTACTTTATTTGCTTGTACAATGGAACTCTTCCTGTAACAAAATGGATTTACACATGGAGGGATGAACAACATCTGGAGGAAAAAAAGGGGAGGCAATGTCTTGCCAGAGAGAGGAGACAGAGGTCTGAAGGAAATGTAAGGAAGGAAATACACACACACAAAGGTATCTTGGGGAGGAAAAGAAGATGCAGTTGCAATAAACAAATGGTTAATGGGGAATTAATACTAATGAAGTAGCTTATTGCACAAAGGAAATAAGAGTAGAAGAGTAAAAAAGTAAGGAAGGAATAAGGTACAAAAGCAGAGCAAGAAGAGTCACTCAGATTTCTAAGGTTCCTGAATAAAAATACAAGAACTATGAAAAAGACAAAGAATAAAGAATTTCTTAAGAGATCAAAGATAGTGAAAACAGCTCACGAAAGAGAACATTGCTGTGTATTTAGACCAATTTTCTATTTACACATTTATTTATGTGGCAATGACCTGAAAGAAATTGTTGCAAGAAAGTAAAATCTGCTGATCATAATGCTGGAATTAGGACAATAAAACTACATTCTAAAGATTTGAATAGGACTGGAGAATGGGCAGATATGGAACATACTGAACATAAATCAAAAGAAATTATTCTAGCATACACAAGGGATGGCTCGGTTCAGGCCAACTGCAATATATTTTACACAATTTTTGTTGCCTTATTACACAAAGGCTATTATAGTGATGGAGATGGTGTAGCAGCAGGCAACCAGAAATTATTTAGGCACTCTGGGAATCTAAATACAAAGAGACAGGATAAACCTGGCCAAATTCTATGTGACCTCACTGACTGTCAAAGAATTCTGAAGAGACTGCAAAAACCTGCTACAGGGGTGGGGGAGCAGGGAAGGGGGATGTAGGGGAAAGGCTTCTGACAAACAAAACAACCCAGGGAAATAAAATACAGTAGAACCTCTATTTTAAGAACACCAGTCTTGAGAATGACCAATTATATGGTCCCCATAGAGTGTGTGGGGCAGCGTCACATAAATAAAGTGATGTTGATGAAGAACAAGTTGACATCCCTTCACATTTGGATACCTTCAATGCATTGGAAATCTCTTTGTAGTGGTATGAAGGACAAGAAGCAGCGATGTAGTGTAGCATTCTGCAATTTACGCACCATACCTACTGTAATTTTGAGATGTTCAATTTTACGATTTGAAGATTTTGATTTTACAAACTCGTCAATCCCGAATTAGTTCATTGAGATTTTACTGTAAAATTAAAGAAGAGTTTGATCCTCGAAGACTGTTGGTGGAAGCTATTTTTAGTGAGACACATTGCTGCAGCAATATAGTTGTAAGGTAAATAATCTTCACAGTATGTGGCAAAAATGACAATGTACTATGTGGTAAAGCAGCAAAACAGATTACATGGTCTTCTTTCATGCCTTTGATTTCACAGAATTGTGGAAATTAGAAATAAGAAAGAGATATTATGTCATCTTGTCTACCTGGAACAATTTATCTCCTCTTTGGGGTGAAATACTTACAGATGGTCCCAATCCTCAATCCCATTTAATAATATTTCAGCCAAACTAGTCCTTTTAATCTTTACTCAATTCTAAAATCTTAATCTTTAGTCAACTCTTTCATCTTAATTTTTTGCTGTATGTACTTTGTATTCCTTCTGATTTCCCTCCAATTTGTTGACATCTTCCTCTCTTCATTTAGCTCCCTCCTTTAAACAAGCTTTTTTTAACCTGTCAGTGCTCTGCCAACCGAGAAGGGTTGTTACAAGAATTTCTTCTAAAGTAAGTGGGAATCTATTTACTCCTCTGTGTCTGAATTGTATTGCTTGTCTGTTTAGATTGACTCTGTGGACTACTCATGTGAATAAGGTGAGAAGAATATAGTACTAACTCAGTAATTTGTGACCCAATTTCCTTTAACACTCTCCTCCTGAAAAGATAGATTTTTTATGATAATAAGGTAGAGTCTTTTACAAAGCACAGCCTATCATAAGACACTTAACAACTTGTCATCCTGATACACACTAAAGTTATTCAGTTACTGACTGTATCATGTCAATGCCTACTTGAGGCTCGGTTGGTGAATTATGGCTGAAGAGATGTTTGGAGCTGTGAAGAGATGTTTAGCTGTGGGTCAGGAAAGCCTGGCAGGCCAAGCAAACCGCACTGAGCTCCCTGATGTTGATATGGAGGGCCAGATCATCCCGCAACCAGCATCCCTGGGTGTTCAGCTCACCCACGTGGGCTCCCCAGCCCAGGTCCAAAGCATTAGAGACCAGGGTTAGCGACAGGGACGGGGTCGCGAAGGGAACTCCCTCCAACACTGACACAGGGTCCAACCAGCAATCCAGGGACGACCGGATGTGATCCAGCACCCTGACTACCCGGTCTCGGTCATGCCTGATGAGGATGTAGACCGATGCCAGCCACACTTGCAGCAGCTGGAGATGGAGCCTGGCATGACTGACAACGTATGTACATGCAGCCATATGACCCAACAACCACAAGCAGGTGTGAGCCGTGGTGAGCGGTGGTTCTTTACGTGGGAAAACGGGTCTGACATGGCCTGAAAATGTGCTACCAGAAGGAAGGCTCTGGCTCGTGTGGAGTCGAGAGCTGCCCCCAATGAACTCTATTCACTGGACCAGCCTCAAGGTGGACTTTTTCTTGTTTATTAACAGGCCTAGGTCGCGGCAGGTGGAACGCACCAGATTGAGGCTCCTCTGAACTTGTTCCCAAGACCTGCCCTTGATGAGTCAGTTGTTGAGATACAGGAAGACCTGGGACCCCTCGATATCTCAGGTAAGCAGCCACTGGCTCCATACATTTTATGAACACCCTTGAGGCCCATGAGAGGCCAAAGGGCAGTGCCATGAATTGAAAATGGCGTCCGCCCACTATGAAACGGAGGAATCGTCTGTGATCTTGGAATTAGGAAATAAGTGCCCTTCATGTCAAAGGCGGCATACCAGTCTCTCGGATTCAGGGAGAGCATGATGGAGGCTAGGGAGACCATGCAAAACTTCAACTTCCTGACAGACTTGTTGAGGCGATGCAGGTCCAGAAGGGGTCTTCCTTGCTATGCAAGGAAAGGCACTCTGACTAACCACTATGGGCAGTAAGAAGGGATTGAGGGGGCGTAGGGCCGGCGGTGCCTGCTATACCGATGCATGAGCGCGGCACTCGAGGGGGCATCACAGCCGACCCTACGGATAGCATTAAGGCAAAAATGTCCGACTACCGCTCACGTGGGCGCATGCACACCTAGAATGGAATCGACATGAGCAAGCCCTCGAAGAAGAATTGAAGGTTTTATTGCAGACTTTCACAAAGACAGCTTCTCTTCCTTCCATTTTAATCAGTGCCATCATGGAGCATTCTGGCCTGATAGAATAGTGCTCTATTCCCCTAGCAAATACTTTGTCACATCAGGTCCCATATTGATGCAATTACAGGACACGTGACTTTTCATAGTCCAGTGGTTCTCGAAGTTTTGTACTGGTGACCGCTTTCATATAGCGAGCCTCTGAGTATGACCCCACCCCCTTATAAATTAAAAACACTTTTTTATATATTTAACACCATTATAAATGCTGGAGGCAAAGTGGGGTTTGGGGTGGAGGCTGACAGCTCACGACCCCCCATGTAATAACTTCGGGACCCCTGCGGGGCTCTGACCTCCAGTTTGAGAACCCCTGTCATAGTTAGTTTATGGAAGCCAAAAGGAGAGTAACTTTCAGAAATCAAACATCTTTCTCCCCTGCCAAAATGGTACAGTCAAACACACACACATGTATGCTCCTGGACAACTCAACCTCCATGCTGCTCTCAACCTTTAATCAGCCCAGAAATGAAGGTCTGCTTGTCTTGTTTCTTAATAAGTAAATACCGGTAGGCAAAGAAACAAAGTCTAAAATCATAATTTCTGTTTGCACTCTCCATTAACCAAACACTTTTTTTGGGTGGGTAATTTTCTTGTTTTTAAAAACTCACTCGCAGTAGGCCAGACTCAGAGGAGTAAAAGAGTAAGTCTAGAGAGTACATTTACATCAGTTAGGCTCCGTCTGGATTTACACAGTTTGCAAAGAAGGTCAGTATCATTATCCGCATTTTACAGATGGGGAAACTGAGGCACAGAGAGATGAAGTGACTTTCCCAAGATCACCGAAAGGTCAGTGGCAGAACTAGGTCTCCTGAGCCCCAGGCCAGTGCTCTATGCACTAGGCCACACTACTTCCCTTAGACTTATACCCAATATGTAAAGAGAATGGAAATTACCACATCACTTCTGCATTTGGATCAAGGAGCATAGGAAATTTAAGCTGTCGTAACTCATATGCTAAGGGACCAATAGAGAGAAGCATAACAAGAAAAACAACTTGGCAGAGGGTTTAAGAAAGCATGTTAAAATAGATCACCCATAGCCTCTAGGCTCTAGACTCAAAAGACGCACCATCTTGAAGCTCCTTACACTTCCTTTCCCACTGGGAAAGGGTGTGAGAATGGAATAGGCACTATAATTAATGGAATATGCACTATAACAAAGCCCTCTTTAGTCAATACAAGGATTTCCACTGATTTCAATGACTTTGGATCTGAGCTTATGACAGTGAGAATATAAAGGAGTGTTAGAGTAACTTCTACCATCTTACACATTACCCCTGTATTTGGCCCTTATCTTCAGTTTACAGCAAATGTTTTATTAACAATTGTACAGTATATTTTCAGCCATTTAATTATTGGACATGTCATGCAGCATACCTAACATATGAAGTGGAGACAGAACAATTTGATCATGGCCTTTGTGAGACCTGCTCTCCTAACCGCCCAGAAACAAAAATCAAGTTCGCTCTCAAATTTTTTCCTCCTTTTTGCCAGCACCAGCTGCTGATACAGCAGTCTAAGTCTCGCTCTGCTTCTTTACTTTTTTTTCCATTAAAGAATACATAGAAAATTAGGGTATTTAATTTTTGTTCAATAACATTTAAAACTGGGTGGAAAACGAACGTGTTTGTGTGTATTTTTAAAGGTATCTTATTGAATGGGTGGAGTGTATTCAAAGGGCGGGAAAGGGTAATGTAAAGAAAGTTCACACCATACTCTTACCTCTCCCCATATGCCAACCGTGTCTCTGATATCATTTTTACAGTAAGACAATTGTCTGATGCAATTGTTCACAGCAACACTGCTTTTTCCAGGAGCAAGATCTTCTTCTGCCATTTCTACCCAGCCCAAAGAGCGCACAGCAAAGCACTAAAAAAAAAACCAGGAAAGATTTGTGTGTAAATCATAACTTTATATACCAACAAAGCAGTATCAATTACTTACAAAAGACTGAAGAAATCTAATGGACAGATTCCCAGTGAAGTCAATGTCAAAACTCCCCCCCCTTTGGACAGAAGCAGGTCCCTGTATTGCCATAAGATGACACTCATAGCAGATAGGAACATTAAAATGTACAGTTTGAGAATGTAAGATGAAAATATTTATTGGAAGGAACAAGGTAAGATGAATGACATGTCAGGAAAAATGATACTTCTTATACCTCCATGGTGGCAGAATATGACAAAATGCTTTCAAGAATACAGTCACCAAAGGAGAAAATGAGGAACATATAAGGAATGCCTTAGGCAGTCAATAGGATACCCTTGCACCAGAAAAATAGCAACCACAGCTACAGGATGGAGGTCCTAGTTAGTATTTTGAGCCTTTATATAAAAAAAGGTTTCAGTTTAGGCCTGTTGTGAAATCCACATATGGTATATCTCACTACTGAGTTTTAAACCACAAAACTTAATTTATTAAGGATTACCACAATCAGTTTTACAGTAAGTTTAAGTAAGGTAGCAGATAATAGTAAATCCAAAGCATTAACTAAGAAATAAAATACTGTGTGAAGAATCAGGCTTTTAACAGTGACCCTTAAGCCAACCAGAACTCTCAGCTGGCAGAACATTGCAAGACTACATCACTCAGCACTTATGATGCATTTTGCAAACAAAACAAAACGTGATAAATTGCCTGGAAATATCTATGTTACTGCCACTATGGAAGATTTATAAAAGCCACTTTTTAATATGGGAAAAAACATTCATATTGTGCTGAGGCACTACAGAGAGTGAAATCCTGACCCTACTGAAGTCAATGGGAGTTCTGCCATTGACTTCAATGGGGCCAAGATTTCACCCAGAAAGCGTCAGGAGGATTCTGTTGTCAAGTTGAGCCATAACTGCCAACAGCAAATTTATAATAGTTCTGTTGCTTCTTTCTGATAGACATGCTGAACTTCTACGTTATTAGGAGTACCTCCCATATTATATAACACACACTATTTTTGAGGCATTCAGCATACGTTATATTGTCTATATGGATTAGTAAAATCTATGGCATGGGGTCTTTGAGAACTTAACGAGACATTAAAATCCCACCTTCCCCTACCTACAAATCCCCTACGTGCCAATCACAGCTTTGTCTACAGAGGCATAAGCTCCAAAACGTTCCAAAAGTACAGCAGAAAAATTTAGAATCAATGTAGTTAAAAACTTGCCTGCATTTAACACCCTTTCTCTTTCACCATCTATCTCTCCAACTCAAAGGTGGACTAAAGATTAACGTGGGCTATGGCGACACTACAAGGCTTTTAGCGACACGACTGTGCTGCTACAGCCGTGCTGCTAAAAGGCATGCAGCGTAGCTGCTGTTTGTGGCAGGAGAGAGCTGTCCTGCCAACAAAAAACGTCCACCACCCATGAGCTGCAGTAGCTTTGCTGGCATGAGTGCGCTCCAACAAAGTGCTGTTCACACCGGCGCTTTTCATTGGTAAAACTTTTGTTGTTGGCGGGGGACGGGGTTAACACCCCGAACAACAAAAGTTTTGCCAACGAAGTTCCAGTGTAGACAAACCCTTAGAGTAGGCATTGTGTAGAGTCCCGATACATTACCTATTGGCTTCTTTTCAACTTTTGTCTTTGGGAATGACTGCATTTTTTGTTTTGAAATTGTGTGCTGAACCAACTTTCTATTGGTTCAGGAAATCAAATAATGCAATATGTATTAGCAATGTTTTAATTATACAATCCCTAAAAGGCCAAAATGCATTGTTCAATGCTGCCCCCCTGTGACAAACCGGTTTCATTGTTACCAGCATCTAACATGTAACAAATGTTTAGGAATACAGGCCCTAATCTTGTAAATTACTCTGCAGACAACTGAGATCATGCTGCATTTACTGCAGGGCAGTCCTGTGCAGGTATAGAATGCAGCCCAGGTGGACCAGGTTGCAGGTTTGGGCCTATAGTTTCTCCTGTTAACATCTTTTTTTGAAATACGTTTAACAAATGGGTTTTTAAAACTCTGAAGCAAAAACACAGAGATAGGTAATTCAAGTTCATACAATATGTCTATTTTGGAAAACTAATGGAGGGCAAGAACATAGAGTAGCATCTAGTGAATTAATCTTGTTAATATTTTTATCTTTATTGGGGTAGGGAAGCACAATGGGACAAAGTGGTTTTGGAGTGCAGAGTTCTTGTATATTTCAGCAACCACCTGAGCCTATTCCCAAAAAAGGAATCCGTGTCACAGCAAGAGTAAAGCTCCATGTGAATGCACATACCTGGAGTTCAAATTACATTAGGTACTACTCTTTGAGTAGTCTGGTGTGCAAGGCTTTGCAGGTCTGGTGAAAAACAGGTGAAATCCTGGCTCCACTGAAGTCAATGGCAAAACTCCTACTGACTTCAGTAAGGCCTGGATTTCACCCTAATTATTTGTGCGTGCGCCTATATGGCTAGTTATTTGTTTACTTCCTTGCTTGTGTTCCTGAACATTGCCAGAGTTTAGGGAACAATATATATCAAAGAATCAAAGAAATTGGGAGGCGAGGGGGACAAAAAAATGCTAGGCCATATAGCCCTCGTGCACAAGTAGGACAGTTGGCTATGGTATATTTGTTAGTGGTTTATTAATGAAAGTCTATCTTTCTACTTTCTATTGGTCTTGCAGCAGCAAGACATAAACAGAGGTAGATTTTATATAAACTATGACTGTTTACAAAAAAAACTCTTAGCAACATTAACTTTTAAAATTTTAATATTTAATATGTAGAAGATATTCCTCATATAACGGTAAAATTCACCACCAGATTACAGAACATACACCACTTTGTAACGGTAAGTTAGATCTTACCACTCGACAGCACTTTGAAAAATAAAGATTGTATATTCATAAAAATGGAAAAAAATAATTTCATAGAAACAGTATGATTGCTTTTGAGTAAAAAGCAAATTATTATTTTTTGCAACATTAGAAACATTTTGTATCCAATACATCTTCGAGTGCTTAAATACATATTACTTTTATACATACCACACAAAGATTTTAAATCACTAAATTCATATTTATTAAAAAGACAAAAATGGCTTTTTTAAGTAAATGGGAACATTTTCCTTATTTGCAAATTTCCCTTCTCAGAGCTAGCATGTGCACTCACCCATCACTGATTGGTAGAATCTTTTACTGTGCACAGAAGCAGTCCTAATCTGTCAATCACAGGCTTCCCTGAGGTGATGGGCCTACCCTATACTTCAGGTAAACTACTTTGAAAAGTAATTAACAATGTATAATATATAATTTATTAAACAAAAAGCATTATGCAAACTGTGTTAAACTCCTCTGTGTCTATGGGTAAAAACTCAAACTCATCCAAATTTTATGTCAGATAGAAATAGTATCTTGAAATAAGGAAATTAAGTTATGATTTTTTTTTCCTCCTGCAAAGCACGTTTACTGAATTGCCGCTGCTGGGAGCTGACTTTAAACTTTAAACCAAATGGGCACAAAACCTGGAAGAGAAATGGTGAAATCAGGAGGGAACTACAGCTTGAAGTATTTTTCATCCCACAGCTGCCTCTGGAGAAGCCAAAATGTCCAGTTTGTAACATTTAATAAGATTTACAAATCTCTTCTGTCATGTTACAAGATCTTTTGACCCATGAAGTACTCACAGCTCTTGTTGAATGTGCCAGAACATCTATTAGGGATGTTAGGCCTTGATTTTTGTAAGTCTTTTCAATCTACTTTCTATTGTGTCTGGAGATACAGATTTTATTGTGGTAGCATCCACAATGTGCTAGTTACTTTCTAAATACAGAAAAAAGACACAATTCCAGTACTGAGCAGAGTACAATTCAAAAAGGCAAAGTCAGAAGGAGGATAGGAGCAAGGGATACAAAATACAGATAACAGGATCAGGATGATGATGACAGGAGCAGTATCTCTTAGTTACAACTAAATGTATCTGGATTTTTGCTCTTCTTTTGTTAAACACATTAAACTCTTCACTTGCTCCACCCATTCAATTCCAGTGTTACAGTTACAGAGTAAGCTGTGTTTTAGACCTCTTGAGTGCACCTCTCAGGTAACACACTTGGCCTTCCACTCCCTCGCTCAGTGGTGGAACCCCACAATTCAACCACTCTGGGACTTGACTTCTGGGTTGCAGACCCCATTTTCTACCTCTTTTAACATGACAGGCCCAACAGTATTTGGTACCTGCAAGAAAACTATAAAATATTTTTTATTCACCCAAAGGTATAAAACAAGCAGTGAAAGGGGACAAACAAAAGCCTGTATGCTTGGGTGTTACCTTAACCTTTCCTTACATATTTTGTTAAGTTCACTCAGCTCAGGCATTCTTACTTCTGGGCTGGGAGAAAGATTGCTCTGCTTCATTCTCTCCATGTCCGTCAGTCAAAGCCTCATCTCCAGCTGCTACTGCCTGCTCCCCTACTTCTTCTCTAGACAGGGCATTATAACAGTGTCGTGTCCTTTTTAACTTAGACTCCAGCCTGGGAAAACTAAATCTGTTAACCTGGCTGGAGTCAGCTAGGTAGGCAGGCATTCCATGTTAATAGCCTCCCATTGTTCTCTTGATGACCCTTGGTAGTCTCTCTGGAATTATACTATTTCTGTAATTGTTTTATTTTCTGCTTGTTTTTTCCCCAACAATCTCCTTTAATATGATTCTCTGTAGGCAGACAGAAAAATAGCAAGCAGGTAAACTAGGTACATATGATATTCATAAAAATAATACATCTCCCTCACCTTCCACTTACAGCAACCCCCAACATCAATACATGATGCAGAAATTATTGGTAAGGTTCTTTGGCTTTTGTTATGGAGGAGGGCAGATTAGATGATGGATTAGAATGTCTTTTCTAGCCCTAAAATATATAAATACCTTCCCTTCCCAA